GCATTACTGGAGCCAATAAAAGTTCGGTGGTTTTTCACTGTCTACGAACAGATGTTATTTCGTTCGCCACGTTATAAATAATTATAAAAATAGCGTTGTAACTAATTATTTTCAAGAATTAGTAACAAAACTAACTTTGGTTATAGATACAAATTGAAATTTTTTTAAAAAACATTTGAATAAAATGCTTAATGTATGGAGAAATGATTCGTATGAATAATAAGTAAAACTAAAAATATCTCTATTGTTATTGACACCAATGATGCGTAATTAATTTAGGTAATTAGTACAAATGAAAGGAAAAAATAAGCCTTATACTAAAAAGCTAAATTAATGGAGAGAAGGTACTTCATCTTGAAAAACCGCCTTTTTATTATTATTCAAGCCGATGAGGCTTAATTAATTTTACTAATTGGTTCTACTGCTTTTATGTGTTTTCTAAAAAAGTACTAAATATACTATAGTTGCTATTAATTAATATCGATTTATTGATCATTTACCTTTTTTGACTTCGTACAAAGAACGGGTAATCAGCTAGTTAGCAATAAAATATGGTTTTATAATATACGATTAAATTTGGTAAATGAGTGAAACTATGTAATTTTATAACGATACCTTTTTTCTTTTTTTTTTTTTGTCGTGTCTGTGACATAGCCGAATCAAATGTATCCATGCGTCTTGATTACTGCTTCTGCGATTTGCTTGATGTTATCGTCATAAAGGTCAATCAATGACGGCAAGACTCCTTATATCTCTCAGATTAGTACTCATTGTTGGACACTCAAAGATGTGGCATTGTGTCAGCTGCGTATCTGGACACATTTCCTGTATACTTTCCTGCCCTCTCCGATACCTTACTGCATGGCACAAAAACTATATATTCGTTTAAATTTACTTTTCAGTTTGGTATTTTTACTAAATGTGAGGTAATAATGACTAAAATTATAAAAACCAGATTTTTCGGCAAACTATTATCAAATGAAGGTTAAAAATTATAAAATGATAGGTTTTAAATATCATATATTTTGATTTTCATCGCCAGAATAATGTTGTTGGTGTTGTTTTACCAGAAATGCCATTACCATACGGCAGGGATGGGCAAACTTTTTTGATCGAGGGCCAAAAATCAAGAAGAAAAAAATATTTGGTGGGCCAAGTAAGATCTTCAAAATTTAAGAAAGAAAAAAAAAAGTGATATACAAGTTTTAATTTAAATATTTAGTGGGATGAAGGAAATTGCGATTTCATTTCTAAAAGTTCCTTATATTAAGGTTCGAAGTGAGATGTGCTTATTTTAAGGAACAAGGCTAAATCCTTTTCTGTTAGTCTACTTCTGAAATAATTTTTTCTAAGGTTCATAATTGAAAACTCTTGTTCACGTATATAAGATTAAGCAAACATAGCACTGATTTTCTGGGCGTGAAATTTTAAATTTTGGAAACTAGCTTTTGGTAATGATTTGTCAAACTTAGGCATATTTAGAAACAACTGCTTCAGATGATTGTTAGATTGTCCGCTCTTTGGTGCGTAAAACGCGCAGTCTGCCAAATGTGAAGCACAATTTACCTATATTAGATTCTATAAGTCAGCTCCTTGAGAAAGACAAACGCTAGTTGGAGCCAATCTACGGCTATTCTATAAAGAACTTCTGCTTTCAACATTTTACCAATTGAAGCTGTCTGTACTAACTATTTCCATCAATTTATGTTTTGTAGAACAAAAATAGAGAAAGTAAAAATGTCATCAGTACTTTGTTAAAAAAGGAAAAACAGAAATAATTTTAAACATAGTCGACAATAAAATGGATGTATATTGTTTATATTTGCCACTGATCGGCAAATAAAAATTCTATCCGCGGGCCGGATAAAATCTTCCGGTGGGCCACAGTTTGCCCGCGGGCCGTAGTTTCCCCATCCCTGCCATACGGTATGAGAAATTTTGCCAGAATTTTTACTCCGTTTATGCGTATAGTAACATTTAACCAGTGCTATTCAGAATTTACCTCTATTTCCCCATGCTTAATAGATAACTTCAATTTTGTTTTATTAGTTCTTGTTGAATTTCCATTATCTAAGCTTATAGCGACATGCTTTGAAAGCGTAAATATCAATATAGGAAACACGTGGTTTCATATACTTTTTAAAATACGAATTCGGTGACATCATCACCATGTTTACCAAAATTTTTAACGTTGATTTTACATATAATGCACTAACATAATAAACAAACGATAAATATATCATCAAAACGTGTGATAAACTAATTTTTGATTGATTAGTGCAGCTAGCTAGTACTATTATAAAATATATATACTATTACTACTCATAATAATACTTATATATATAAAATATATAAGTACTATTATAAAATTTATATAAATTCTATGGAAAACTTTTTCTTAGGGATGTAATCGCAAACAGGTGATCGGAGGAAATTATAAAGTTGACAGCTAGTCCCACCGTGTCTTGAAACGTATGTACAGTTTTCCAAAAGAACGGACAACCCTGAATAATTTTTGATTTAATGATCGGATCCTTACATTCCAGGACTCCATCTGGATGGATAGAAGAGATGATTTCAAATATACTAAATATTTAGTGCAAACGATATTTCAAGATAAATCAGACACAAAAACGTACTTTTTCTGAAAAATCGTACTGTTTTTTTCAAAGGATTCGGATTTCTGAACTCCAAAATGTAGAGGGTAGCCGCGATCTGGGAAATAAGGTTCTAAAAGTTTGGTCAGGAGAGGCACCCCCTAATGTTAATTTTATTGTTTGCGTATTTTGCCATATTTCGTGATTTTTTTAAGCGAATTGAAAAAAATTTCCACAAAATTGTAAAATTCCTAAGTTAATTTCCTGCGAAAAATAAATTTTAGTAAATATTTATTATTTTTTTAATTGTATTTAATAATATCCGTACCAATTTTGTATTGCAAGGTATACATTTTTTACATCATTTTAAAGTACCTAATTTCACATGGAAAAATACAAAATTTGAGCGAAATCGGTTGAATAATTCCTGAGAAATCGAATATTAAATACCATTTTCGCTCAAAATTTGTATTTTGCCAAGTAAATTTAGATACTTTAAAATTGTGCTAAAAATTGTAAGCCTTACGATTCAAAATGTTTTTGACTATCATTAAATTACATAAAAAATGATAAATATTTACTAAAATTTATTTTTCACATGGAATTAACTTTGGATAAACGAATTTTCAGAAGTTCTCTAACTTTGAAAAAATACGCAAATTATAAATTAACATTACGGTGCAAACTTTGGATCGCTCTCCTGACAAATTATTCGGACTATATTTCCCGAATTGCGGCTAACCCCTATATTTTGCATACGAAATTTGTCGGGAGTAATTTTCTCATTTGATTCGTCAGAAGACAAACTTCTTTTAAATATAATTTTATGCTTGGTATGATATATACATAAGAATAAAGATTTACAAACAAAACATGTTCTTTGGTCAATTTTAAGTAATCCTTTGTAAAAAAAATATGCCACTGGTTCTTGCCATAGCTAAATTATAATCCCGAGTTTTGAGCTGCAAAGTAATATTTTGGAATAAAACAACACCTAGTTTAAAAACTCTGGCTATGTTATTTAAAAAGAGGGAATTTTTAATGTCATCATGCCGTTTCGTTACCTTCTTATCTTACTAAAATTGGAAGAATGAACACTTCAACTTAACATTTTGAAACAAAACTTGTAAGTTCAACTCTAACTGATCATCTATATAAAAGCCCTGATACGGAATTTATAATTATAACTAAAACATGAACCCCGATTTAAGGGGCAAAGTTCACTCTAGCTGTTAAGCTACAATATATTTTAATATATCTTGTTAGATGATCTAATGGGATACCTGCAAGTGACGTAGTTTTGGTATTTCGATCCTGATTAGTTGTTGAAACGTTTCATTTGTTTTCGTTAGCAACTGTTCTCTCCATTCTATTTTGAGTAAACCAAGCCCGCCAAGTAACAATTCTTCTAAGTGACACATTCTATGTCCTTTCAGAAAGGTTTCAATTATTTCACTATATATTTCTTACTTAGCACAAGACAGGCGCAAAATCATGTGAAACATAAACAAACTAATTATGCATGGAAGTTGCCAGGTACAAACGACAGAAATATATCACGATTACAATAAAATACTTAAATAATAGTTCAAAGTTAAGAAAAAGACATAGATGAGAAAGAATTATATTTCAACGAATGCGATGTAAGATACGGCAATGTATTTTATTAATTTCACTTTAATTAACATTCTAACGTACGTGGAGAAACCTAGCTCAACTTTAACACTTCATTTAGCTCATAAGCGATTAGCTGACCCTAACGTCATAGATCACGTGTGTGGCTATCCGTGATCTTCTTTTTTTGAAATGCAAGTACCCAATTGTGTAATGAATACAAAAAATATGTCTTAAAATTTATTTTTTTTATAATTAGAAAATTAAACATACTAATCATACTTTTTTCAAACAAAATTTATTGAATTATCCATTTTTAACAACTATCTTTATTAAAATTACGGCATTGATATGTAATCATTAAATCATAACCACAAATTTGCGATACAATGTTATCTTTTGTGGGAAACAAAATTCATTTTAAATGTTCTAAAAATGAATATTTCATTAAACCATAATAAAAATTCACTAAGAGCAGATGTCATGGTATAAGCGGATCAAATTTGTTATGATTGCACAACAAAAGAATTTTCAAATTTCATTCCACTGATAATCATCATATCCTCAAAAAAATCCCAACTTTAGCAACTTATCACGATTCTATAATTCCTTTTCATTTGATAAGCTAAAGTGTTAACAATCAGTCTCGTCAATTTACATTTTTATCCCATTTTTTCCCGTTCTTATCTAAGAAATCAGCGCCTATGCGCTCGCAATTCTAAATCATTACTCACGTTCATCTTTGATTAGTAATTTAAATTAAATCAAACAGCCGTGGTGGCAGGAATGATTTAATAAGGATTTATTCAGCTTTTAAAAGGATGTGAAGATTAACCTGTTTGGATCTTATTTAATCAGGAACATTCCCTGGTGATTATGACATGAATCTTCGCTGGTTCTTATAAAATACCAGGCCACTATTGCAAAGGTACTCAATCTGTGCAAAATCAAAATGAGGATACATTTATTTCTTCTCGTTTTAGTGGCTTGTGGAATTAGTGCAAAAGGTAAATTGCTATTTATATATTTTTTTAATTATCTCAACCGAATATATTTTTATATATTATCTTTATCTTTAACTGTAACTGCATTTTCAATCAGATTCTATAACTTTTAGCAATAGAAATTCGTGTGTCGTCAAACTATGAGGGAATCTCTCCTACCCGTGGTGATCGAACGTTATACGTCACACGAATTACGAGAATTCTTGTCTATGAAGAAGAACTGTTCTCCCATCAAGCAAATGCTTTTAATTCTTTTCAAAACTCAGGTAGTAGCTAAGAGAAGAAAATATTCATTTAGTTGAATAACCGCATTTTTAATAAGAGCTTTTTTGCGTCACGGCGTGCAAAGAAAAAATTCAGGCGATAATGGGCTTTAAGAATGTTTTTCATAGCTCATTTGCCAAGGAAAATAAAAAAAGAAGTAAGGTATCATTCCAGGTGGTGAAACGTTAACGTTGAAACTCTCCAGAACATTGTCACAAATATGTGAAAGCCGAGAGCGAATGAGAAATCGTTCTGGTATGCTAGCTTTTCGCTCAGGAGATGAGAGCGTATCATGTTGGCACGTATACGTGACAGTCAACGCGAATGGATTAAATGTTTTTAAAAGTCAACAATTTGACAATATTTTTCAACCTAGAAAAAAACCAATGAAATGAATAAATAATTTTAAATTTTTGAAAATTTATAAGACATCTAAACATTATAGTGGCAGAGTAACTTTATAAACATCAATTCGCAAAAGCATTTCATTTTCACAAAACTGCATATTGAGATTTAGCACCACTCTCATAGTTAGCACGACAAAAGATAAGCAAAACTTACCCTTACAGTCATGACTAAATTGTAACAAACTCACAACAGATTACTCAATAAAAATAGCATACAATAAAATAAAAATATTATTTGCAATCAAGCGTTGTAAAATCTATATCAATCATTCATTGTGTTTTTAGATTATTAAAAGAAGACAGCTTTCGGTCAGTAAAAAAATACACAAACACATCATACATGCATTTGTAGTGAGAAGTTGAGGAAAGTAAACGAAAAATCATCATTTACATAAAAGAGAGCAGGTTTTGAACTAAAATAATAGCTTTTAATTTCATTAAAAGAATTACAGGCGAAAAAGTAAATTTTTAAAAAACTGAAGATGGAACAAAAAATAACACAACCATATTTTTTCCTTCAAATATATTTTTATAATATGTAGCAATATATTAAATAGTTTATTCTCTATTCTATATTAACTCACACAGACAGACATACTTTTGATGAATTATAGCGAAAGAAATTAAGCAATCGTGCGAAAAATGCTAAAAATATGAACAAAAATCGACTTTGCAGTGTTAGGCTATAAAAATAGTTTTATTTAAATTCATAACTCAAGAAGAAAATATTTTTAAAAGTTTAGATTTGTTAAAACTTAAAACAGGAATATTTGATTGAAAATCTTTCGTGAAAAACTACCTTAAAATATTATCGGAGATGCAAACAAGTAATTTTCTTTATTTAGATTATGTTTTCGTTTAATAAATCATTAATTAGCTAATTATTATCTAATTAATAATTAAAAATATTAATTTAAATCTAACAGTAATTGATACTGATTAATTAATTATTAATTTATTGCTTATTTATTATTAATTAATTTGTGGCGTAACTATCACTATAAATATTAAATACCGAATCACTAGTATATAAGACGTGTTAACTTGATTCTATCTTGAGAAACCTTTTGATAGATGAAAGTTGACATAGTCTAAGGCAGAGGTCGCCAAAGTGGTCTATATAGACCCCCAGGGGTCTATTTAACAAAAGCAGGGGTTGATCTGAGACAGGGGGGCGAATGGGGGTCGATCCGAATCGGAAGGGTCGATTGTGGGCCGAAAAAAAAAAACAATTCTCAATATGCAAATCACACATGCCTAATTAAGTATGTAAATTTTGCGAATTTTCTTTTACTAGGAGGCTCCGCCCCCTGCTCGCTAACGCTCGCCAACCCCCGAGAATTGCTACGCAATCCTATGTGGTTCATGCCGTGAACCATGGCTCGCTGCGCTCGCTCGCCAATGAACACAATGTTCTAGCACAAAGACATAGTATATTATCATCAAAGACATAGTATTTTAT